AAAATCATTTATTTAAAACTAACTAGTTTATATCATAATACGAAAACATAAAATTATTAATGAGTATGATTTAACTATTGCCATGTATACTTTTTATTCATTAGAAAACATGGAAATATGACCTTCCCTTTTTATTAGTTGAAATTAATTTTGTATTATGTAATAAACTTACAATTCATTATTTGTATCAAAAGGGGGTTTTGTGGATATTATAGTAATTTATAGTAATTATAGTAATCCATAATATCCACAAAAATCTCTTCTGATACTAATCAACATATGTTCACTAGTGACTGGCTTCAAGAGGTATATCCTGGAGTTCTAGTGAGAAGCAGTGACCAGTGGAGTTTAACCGGGTTTGTTGTAAGATAGTAACTCACTGATGACAATGGTGGATGTGTCGCTCAATTATGTGAATTAGTTGAAGTTAGACATTAACACCTTTGTATTCCAGGCGACTCAGTGGTCTAGTGGTTAAGCGTTCGCAAGTGAGACCAAACTTCCTGGGTTCGAACCTCACGAGGCATGAATGAGCACTGCTGAGGAGTTCAATACTGAGATGAAACGGCTGTCCAGTACTTCCAGGTTTAGCTTCAATTGGCTCATGACATCAACTATTGAAATTATTATAATATTCACAAAAACTCCTGATAAAATCATTTATTTGAAACTAAATAGTTTATATCATAATACAAAAACATAAAATTATTAATGAGTATAATTTGACTACAATAATGTATACTTCATATTCATTAGAAAAACACGGAAATATGATCTTGCCTATTATTTGGTCTAAATTAATTTTGTATTATGTAATAAACTTATAATTCATTATTTATTCATTTATTCAATTATATTTTATTAGATATTATATAATAGTTGGTATTGTAGAATGTATTCATTGTCACATGTTATACATACATTATTGTATATAATCAAGATCATAATTTACATATACATGAATGAACACATTATCAAAATGATTTTGTTCTATGATTATAACATGAATAGAATTATTTATTTAATTATATTATATTATACTTTCATCTAAAACATTAATTATCATTATGATAGATATTTTATCTGATTAATTAATGGGATTATTCTATTTTTATTCATTCAATGATTTCCTAGTATTAATTATTTAATGCTTATCATGTCATTATATATATATTCATTTTATTGACAGGAAGCAACATACGTAAAGATTCCTATACGTTGACATTTGTTAGTGAACCTATAGGCTTTCTGTCGTGGACCAATTCAGTCATATATAAATAATATTCTTTTTTAAAATAACTAAATACTTAATTATATATGAGAATATATGTACTAGTCAACTTTCTACTCATAGATTATTAATGTATTCAAACTATCGATAAATGATTATGGATAATAGGTGAAAATAATCTTCAAACATAAAAGTGGTATTTACTGATGTTTGTCAATAATTCTTATTCACATAAATATAAGCCTTTTTGCAATATGGATTCTAATAACTAGGATTGAAGAAAACATTGAAGCATCATGTGCAATTCATATGAAGGATAGTGAGTTGATTAGATATTTAAGACAACGGACTAAACACTGAATGCTCTTCTATTTCGTTCTGGGTGTTAATAGAATTCTATTGATTAAGAAGTAGTTTAGTTTCCAGGTCAAATGATTTAATACAACGGTTTACTTTCTCTGATCTTAGGTAGAGATTTACAGAAGATCAATGACAAAGTCTCCTTGCTGCTCATCAGCAAGGATTTCCTACAAACATCTGAGTCATTGAATACTCACTATTGATTTTGATCCAACCACATGAAGCGGTTTCTTTTACAATCATCTTAACAAGTTGTTTGAAATCATACCTTATCATATCATTCTCACATTTGGATTGAAGTGTTTTCTTGTTACTTCTTTCAAAAGCCTCATAAAAAGAACAATATACACTAGACTAGCACCACGATGCGTATTTTTTCTGTAATTCACTGATCGTTCTACATAACATATCACGTCTCCTACTAATGAAGCATAACAAGTTGATTTGCCCTCAAAGCAAAGCTACTTCCATGATCGAAATCTAAAAGCTAACACATAATTTAAAGCACAACTTCTGCAGTTCTTATATTTCACTCAGAATGGGCTTTTTCCAGAAAAATAGAATAATGGTTCTGTCAATTATAAGCCCATGAATGGATACTAATAAAGAATTCTATACCAGTACAAAACAGCCTCATTAACTGATTTTGATCAATATTGAGAACGATTTTCCGAAATAGAATAATCTTCATAGATTCTCTTTCTTAATAAAATGTGTTAAGTGGTATTCAGTTCGAATGGGGTAAAATCTATAAGTATATTAATATTATTATGTTTCTCTTATTAAGCTCAGGTGGCCTACATGAATATATAAATTAGCTGTTCGTGACATTTACTTATTTTAACATGTTATTTGTTTTTTAATTATATTAACATGTTATTATGTTTATTAATCGCATAACCTATTCAG